GCGCATCGGCTGGAGAAGCCTTCCACCGTGCATAGATGGGACGGCTGCCTGCAGCTCCTGCTTGGAGGGTTTCTCCGAAGGGCTTAGGCGACCCGTCCTCCTCCTCCGCCTCCTCCTCCTTCTCCTCCTCCTTCTCCTCCCCCTCCTCCTCCTCCAGCTCCTCCACCCCTCCACCTCCTCCTCCTCCTCCTCCTCCTCCTCCTCCTCCTTCATGTCATGCCATGTATACCATGCCGCGTATGGCCTGGTCCTCTCTTGGCCTGTCCTGTCCTGTCCTATCCTTGTCGTCTGATGTGGTTGCATTTTTCGTGCTGTGAGTGTCGCCCGTGTTTCTGTTCTTCCCAACCATCCGGTGGTGTCGGGTCTTCGTTCTGAAAAGAGCGCCCTACGTTCTTCTCCTCTCCTCTCCTCCTCTCCTCTCCTCTCCTGTCCTCTCCTCTCCTCTCCTCTCCTCTCCTCTCCTCTCCTCTTCTCTCCTCTCCTCTCCTCTCCTCTCCTCTCCTCTCCTCTCGTCTGCAGTTTGCATGTGGGCGTCACGCCCGTTTCGGCACACCCCTCACACGCTTCGTGGCGCCATAGGGAGTTCCACCGAAGGTCCCAGTGGCACAGTTCGCTTGTGGGCGTCACGGCCGTTTCGGCACACTCCTCATGTTTCGTGGTCCCCGAGCAGCTCTGTATTTTTCTCCTGAGCGTCACTGAGGATTGGGAACCAGAGCCCGCGCCCCTGGCGTCAGTCGACGAGCCAAGCTTGCAAAACCGCGGTCCCTCGCGGGACCTGCCTCGGCCGGGGCGCATTCCCCAGAGCCGCTCCCGGGCGCTGGCCTGCTTTCCGCCCGCGCCGGTCACGCCTGGCGCCCGCACTGGCGCCCGTGGGGCCGGCCGACGAGGTGGATCGCCGAGCGCGTTCCACTACTCGCAAAGTGCCTACTCGCAAACGTCACGAGAAACACATGTCGGCTTTGATGTAATTTATCGTAGATCCCCCGCGGCGTATCCAGGCCATTTGCGAGTAGTTACTTTGCGAGCAGTGAAACGCGCTCGACTAGTGGAGGATGGCCCCACATTTGTGCTGCCTTCCACCTCGGCCCCTCCCCTGCCCGCGGCCTCGCCCCCGCGCGGTGCGCCCGAAGCGTGGTGTCCTTGCTTCTCTCGTCTCTCCGTCGCCCCTGTGTGCTTGTGCCTACGGCCGCCCGCAGTAGCGCGCACGGCCTCGCACAGGCCGGCCTTCTCGCCTGCCGCCTGTGTGCAGCTGCGTGCTGCCATCATCCTGATATCTGCCGTCATTGCCGCCTCTCGTCGCTCATTGTACTGTGCCTCTACTTGGCCAGGCCGTATGGCACGGTTGATCGAATATGGATCCGTGCACGCTCGGTGACTTTCTCCGCTTCGACGCTGCGCGCGAGGCCGCGACCGCCAAAAGACGTGCGTGCGTGCGTGCGTGCGTGCGTGCGTGCATGCGTGCGTGCTTGCGTGCGCGCGCGCGCGTGTGTGTGTGTGTGTGTGTGTGTGTGTGTGTGTGTTCCCTCTCTCTCTCTCTCTCTTTCTCTCTCCCCCGTGCACCGCGGCTCAATTCGCAATTGGATGTCCTGCTTATGCTCCTCCACCAGCGCAGTCACTCTGCCCAGCCGCCGGCGGCAAAAGTGTGTGTTGTGTTTGTTTGTGTTTGCGTGTGTCCTGCTGCGATCTGGCCTCTCCCCGCCTGGTCCGCTCAGTGCGTCCACCAGGGCCCTGGAGGGTTTCTCCGAAGGGCTCAGGCGACCCCTCCTCCTCGTCCTCCTCCTCCTCCTTCTCGTCCTCCTCCTCGTCCTCCTCCTCCTCCTCCTCCTCCTCCTCCTCCTCCTCCTCCTCCTCCCCCTCCCCCTCCCTCCTCCTCCCTCCTCCTCGTCCTTCTCCTCCTCCTCCTCCTCCTCCTCCTCCTCCTTTGGTCGCCTACGGCCTCGGGGGAAACCGTCCACCAGGGTCCATGTTCCAGGGGGTCGCTCTGACTCTTCTCCACTCTGCCTGTCCTCACCCAGCTCTGCCTGGTCTTGCTATCTCTGGTTCTGCCGTCCGCCCGCTGGGTGCTCGTGTCCTTGCGTGTGTTCGGCCGCCTCCTCGTCCTGTTCATTTGCCGCTGACTTCCATCATCTTACCCTGTCGCCCTGGTGACTCCGCTCGGTTACGCCCGTCCGCGCATCTCTTGAGTGCACGTCCCCCTTGGTCTCTTCCCCCCATCTGCGCACCTTCTTTGCCCAAGCCCCAGCTTGCCACTATTGCACTCCCCCATCTGCTTCCTCAATTCTTCCCCAACAACTGCAAGTTTCACGGCTTCCTCGTAGATTCCCAGGGTTTGCCTGCACCCGAAGAAGGGGAAAGTGCGGAGGCGATGCAAATAATGCCATCCCTTCGGTTGGCATCGCCTCTCGTTTGCTTTCCCCTGCCCTTCTCTGTGGCAGCGACCGCTGCTGCTGCTGCTGCTGCTGCTGCTGCTGCTGCTCAGCATCATGCTGTTTACTTTCACGATCTCCTGACAGGCTTCGCCGAAATGACGTTCTTGAGCTGCGACCTCATATTCTTCATTTCGGTGGATTCAGCATACACGAGGACATCAGCTCTCCACTTCTCTCAAGGGCTGCGCCCTCCGCCGCCGACCCCCCCAGCGGAGACCGCTTGAGAACCTCTTGGGACCTCGTTGGGCCTTCGAGGCCTCTTAGGGGGAGGGCATCTTCGGGCTTTTTGGGGGCACCTTCCAGTTTACCTTTCGGCTCAAGCAGTTCTTCCTGGTTCGAGACCGGCCAGCAACCGCAGCGCTCCAGAATCCAGCGATGCCCAGCGCCAGCTCCGTAGCCTTCGCCGCACCCGCCGCCGGCTCTGGTTGGGCAGCTGGCCTGAGGGGCGCCGCGCGGGCCGCCGCGGCGCACGCGACCCAGCCGGAGGGTGCTCGGCGCCGAGGCCGGCGCCGCCTCGCCCTGGCTGCTCGGCTCTGCGGCCCTGGTCGCCGCGTCCGTGGCCGGCGCCAGGAGGCCAGCCCGCGGCTCGCGCCGCGCGCTGCCCGCAGCGACGGTCGCGGTGGGGGAAGCGCCCGCGGCCGCCGCAGAGGAGGCCGTGGAGCCGCCTTCGACCCCGCCAAGGCGATCGGCGTGACGGCGCCCCCGGGCCGCTTCGACCCGCTCGGGTTCTGCCAGGTCGGCGATTACGAGGGCTTCCACAAGCTCCGCAGCTCCGAGCTGAAGCGCGGGCGCGGGGCCATGATGGCCGCCCTCGGGACTGCGTTCCAGCACTCCGTGAAGCTTTCTGGCTTCGAGGGCACTCCTGTCGGGCTTGGGGCGCTCATAGATTCTCTGGCGTGCTCGGGTTCGCCTGCCTTATCCTCCCCATCGCCGCGATCACGAAGACCGTGTGCTGGGAGGACGACGACCTGTCCAAGAAGCTGGGCCATTTCGGGGACCCAGGCGACTGTGTCGGGCTCTTCGGCGCCTTCGGCGGCGGCTGCAGCGATGAGATCGGAACAAGGAGATCAGCAACGGCCGCATGGCGATGTTCTCGATCGTGGGCATCGTGGTGGCAGAGCTCGCCACTGGCAAGGACGGTATCCAGCCATTCTGCCTCGTGTCACCTGCGCCCGAGGCTACGACCGCTGCAGCAGCAGCGGCTGCAGCGGCGGAGCGCGCAGCTGGCGGCAGACGCCAGCGGGCGCCCCGGACGCATTCTCGCGTCCCCTTCGGGGCCTGCGCCCTCACTCCTTCGCGCCTCCGAGCTTCTTGGGGGCACCTTCGTTGCCATCGCTGCTCGCAACCTTCAAGGCATGTTTTCGCAGCGCGCCTTGTTCTAGAAGAAAGCAAAGTTTATCTCGGCGCCCGTCGGATTCCGCGCAACACCGAGCTCCGCGCTCGCCGCTAATCGGGCCCTCCCCTCGTTCAAAAGGGTCGGTCCCGACGGCGTCCCCGCCGAGCTCCTGAAGGCGGGCGAGGGCCCGTTGGCCATCGCCCAGAACGAGCTGCAGAATCGGATCGGCGAGAGAGGCGAATGGCCCTGGCAGTGGCAGCGTGGCCGCTGTGTCCCGATCCATAAAGATAGGGGTCCACGGGGCGATTGCGACAAGTATTGTGGTCTACTCCTCGCCGACCACATGTCCAAGTCCTTCGTCGGTCAGATCAAGGATAGGGTTGACGAGCACTACAACACTGACATTTCGCAGCACAAGTGCGGTGCTGTGCCGCGCCGTGGCGCGGACATGGCTGCCCGCGTTATCCGTTGATTGATCGACCGTGCTCATGCCATGAAGTTTCCGGTTTTCGTATTGTTCTTCGCCTTGTCAATTTGTTCGGCACGATATGTCGTGAATTGGTTTTGGGATGGCCTCGTCGTGTCCCTGCTGACCGCGAGAGCCGAGACGAACACCTACGCGCCATGGACATCCCTGAGCATGCTGCTGGCCACATTTTCAAGTTCATCGAGAAACATGGGCCTGTCCTTCACCAGTGGGGCGTTGACGGTGCCGCGATCGCCACGCTGTCAACTCTCCATGACGGCTTTTTGGTTCTCGATTGGAGAGCTCGAGTCCATTTTGCAGTACGGACATGGGGACCGACAGGGTTGCAAGGTGGGTGCAGCGATTTACAACGCTGCGTGTGATATACCTTTACAGTTTGCTCGCCAGTGGCTTGAGCGAGCCGGGGTTGCAATCGACTGCGTGCTTCATCGGACGTGTTTTTTTCAAAAGAAGCTCCGAGGAGGATGCGGGGTAAGCAGGTGCCTCCAGGGCAGCCCCCCCAGACAGGAACTGACGTTCCGTATATTGATGGCGAGTGCATTGGCGCCATGGCTCCTACTGCTACGCGACTGCGTGCTGCCATAGACACAGCTGTAGTTGCAGTGGCTACAGTATGTGCGGATTTCGCGTTCAATATTAAGTGGAAACCATGAAAGACGGAAGGGATGGTGCACTTAAATGGGGTGTGGGGCGGGGCCATTGCTTCGCGCTCTCACCCGCCCCGGCGGCCGTTACCTCCCCGCCCCTTCCGTGAACGGCCTCCAGCCCAGAGTTGTTTTTAGATGTTCGGTGCAAGCGTTTGAGAGGAATTGTCCAGATCGATCGGGGTCTAGGGGTCGACGCGAGGCACAAGGCCCAGCAGGCTCTCCATGCGTGCGGCCCCATAGCCTGCCGAGTCCTTGGGGGCTCATTGCAGTCGTTGCTTCGTGGCCGCCTCCTGCGTTCGGCTCGCATTGTTCTGCCGACCAGAGGGTCTACACGCACGCTCCGAAGCCCCTACATGCTGGTGCGGAGGGAAAAGTGCGACGACAGCAGGTATAGGAAGCCCGAGTTTTCTGACATAGATGTCCGACGTCGCATGCGGCAGCCGTAGATCGGCTGCATGTGGCGACGCGGTGGGCTCAGGTACGGCTTCCGGCTTGTCGGAAACAGGCCTGCCGCTCTCCTCGCCGTCATGGGCGATGGCCCCCAGGCCAATTCGAGTGCCCAGGAAGGGCGTGACCAAGTCAAGCTCTTGTCGTGGGTCGATCTTTTCATCGGCGACCTCGCTTGGCTTAGGGAGCATTCGAGCGTGCCCGTTTTCTTTCTAGTCGTTTGCACCACCTCAGGCATCTTGCCAGAAGTGGGTGTGGACCTCAGCTAATTGGTGGCAGCTACAGAAAGCCGCCACTAGAGGAATGGCTGCGAGCAGAAGCCCTTGACCGTGCCCTCCTTGTCCATGCCGGGTCTTTGGGCCGAAACTGGGCCAAGACAGGCGACCGCCTCCGGAGCTCGCCGTAATTACTGCCTCGTTTGCTTTATTTGTTTTATTTAATCGCTTCGCTCATTCCGCCGGCCCATAATGTCGCACCGTGGTCGCCTGTCCGAGTGGTCGTTTGCAGTGTGAAGCTGCGGCGTCGGGAGCTGTGTAGTGTTGGGGGCGTTCTTGGGGCCCTCTTGGGCCGTCCTGGAGGCCTCTGGGGCCGTCTTGGAGCCGTCTTGGGCCGTCTTGGGGCCGTCTTGGGGCCCTCTTGGGGGCCTCTTGGGCCCTCTTGGGAGTTCTTGGAGGCCTCTTGAGCCGTTTAGGGGCGTCGGGGAACCGAAAAGGTTAAAACGCCCAAATCTGTCCAACACCAAAGGAAAAACACAGGTTTTTGCCTCTTGGGGCCCTCTTGGGAGTTCTCTTGGAGGCCTCTTGGGGCATCTTGGAGGCTTCTTGGGCCATCTTGGAGACGTCTTGGGCCGTCCGGAGGCCATCTTGGGCGTCGTGGAGCGATCTTCGGGCGTCTCGGACCTCTCTTGGACCGTGTTGGGGGCGTTCTTGGGGCCCTCTTGGGCCGTCTTGGAGGCCTCTGGGGCCGTCTTGGAGCCGTCTTGGGCCGTCTTGGGGCCCTTTTGAGGGCCTCTTGGGCCCTCTTGGGGCGATCTTGGAGGCCTCTTGAGCCGTTTAGGGGCGTCGGGGAACCGAAAAGGTTGAAACGCCCAAATCTGTCCAAAACCTAAGAACAAGCATTGATTTTTGCCGCTTGGGGCCCTCTTGGGAGTGCTCCTGGAGGTCTCTTGGGGCATCTTGGAGGCTTGTTGGGTCATCTTGGAGACGTCTCGGGCCGTCTGGAGGCCATCTTGGGCGCCGTGGAGCGATCTTCGGGCGTCTCGGACCTCTCTTGGATTGTGTTGGGGGCCTCTTGGGGCCCTCTTGGGGCGATCCTGGATGATCTGGGGGAGTGTCCCGGGCTCCGCTCGGGCTCCGCCCGGGGTACTTTTGATCCAGGGACCCCCAGGGGCCGCCCCGCGCGCGCGAACTAGAGGTACTGTTTACCAGTTACCGGAGATCTTAGCACGCCTTTGGCCCGTTGGGCCGGCGAATTTGCGCCTTCCATGCCTTGGGAAAGAAAAGCTATGTATTGGCCCTGGGAGCCGTCTTCGAGATTATTGGGACATTCTGGCGCCTGTCTGGGGCCTTTTCGGTCCGCGTTGGGCGATGTTGGTTGTGGCGGGGGGTATTTGGCGATGTTGGGGCCATCTCGGGTCCTCTGAGGGGCGTCTTGAGGCCGTCCTGGGACATTCCAGGAGCGGTGCAGGCGGCTAGTGAACCCGCCTTGGCGTCGAAAGTGCGCAGGACAGCTTGCGTTCTTCTTAGGAAGGCAGGCGGCGAACAGAAGCCTTATGCCAATCGCATCTATTTCAGAATTATTTGTTACATGTCCCCCCCTCTGGGTTCTTGGGGCCCTTTTGGACTAACCCCCGCGAGGCCATCTTGGGCCGTTAGGGGGCACTAGAGAAGCAAGACAGCCGGCTCACATAATGCATGGGCCAGGTCAGTTTTTCATGGGATTTGTTGCCTTTTTTTCCCACCTTAGTATGTTCGTGGAGCCCTGTTGGACCAACTTGGGGCCTCCTCGAGGCTATATTGGGCTGTCTTGGGCTCTTGCGGATCTCTATGGGGTTCGGGGCGCTTCTGGTTGCGCCACCGCGTGAATCCCTTAAGCAACCAAGAGCGGCCAGAGAGGCTGCGCCCCCCCCAGGTGACTTCTTGACTTCTCGGGCACCCGAAGTAGACAATCGAAAGGAGGGATGCGTGAGTCTAGACAGAAGAGACAGTACAGCCGGCACGGGGGTCAAGAGCAACCCCAGCTTAGGAGGGGCGCTCATCCTTCTGTTCTCTGCGATGGGGCTCTGCGCTGCGGAACGCCCCTCGTTCGGGGTGTCTACGTGGGGCCTCGAGCCTCTGGTGATGGGGCTCAAAAGTTCTTTGATCCGCATTCTTGTGACCATGTTTCGACCGTGCGCCAAAGACACAGGACAGGAAAGTACAGACGGCAAGAAGCATCAGCAAGGCGGCAGCCCGGCAAGGACGTTTCGCAGCCTGGCGCTCCCAAGGTGGATGCCGTATTGCCGTTTTTTTTTTTTTTTTTTTTTTTTTTTGTTTTTTTTTGGGGGGGGGGGTTCTTTCTCTATTTTTCTCTCCGCTCTCTCCCTCTCTCTCTCTCTTTCTTCCCCGGCCCCTTCCTGCGTGCAGAGCGGGACCAGTATTTTGTCCGGAGGGTTCAGTACATTCTCTTGGAGGGGTCAGCATTTTGTCAAAGGACCATTTTTTTGTTAGAATGGAATTGTTGTATGTGTTTTGGGTACAACGTGTTTTTTTGTTTAAATTGTTTTTGTTTAGAGACCAATGTTTTTTGGAATGAAGCGGTCGGTTGGTTGGGTGGCCGGGTAGCCCGTTGGCCCAGTTGCCCGATTGGTTGGTTGGTTCGTTGGGTTTTTCGTTGGGTCGGTTGACTGCCTTGTTTGGTTGGTTCGTTGGTTCGTCATTTGGTTCGTTGGTTGGTCCACTGGTTGGTTGCTTGTTTGGTTGGTTGGTTGGTAGGATGGTCGGCTGGTCCGTTGGTTGGTCGGTCAGTTGGTTGGTTGGCCAATCGGTTATCGTGTGGACGGCGACGCGGGCATGGCCCGGCACGTCATGGTTCGGCTGGTTGGCTGGTTTTCCTTGTTGGCCAGTGGGCCAATTCCTCGCACGGAGAGTCGAGAGCCGCGGCAACACACAGACTCACTGTGCCTGTCACGTTGCAGCGCCTGGGTGGGAGCCATACACGTCGGAAGCACTCGCCACGCGGCAGCGCAGCGGGGCGGTGCTCGCCTTGTGGCAACCCCTCGGGGGCGAAACACACACGATACGATTCAATACGGTGCGAATCGCCACGCGGGAACGCAGCCGGTCAGAGCATACAATTCTGTTCTATCCGCCAAGTGGCAACGCAGCGAGACGGAAACAATGCCGCTCCACTCATACTCGTCACTTGGCAACGCCCGGGGGGCGAAACATGATTATTCGACGTATGTTTCTCGCAGCGTGGCAACGCGGCGGGGCGTCAACACATTCTATTCTACTCTACACGTCACGTGGCATCGCCTGGTTACCGAACACATATCCGTCCACTATTCGTCACGTGGCAAGGCTTGAAGGGCGAAGCAATACGATTCTAGTATATTCTGCACGTGGCAACGCAGCAGGGCGATAAAACAGCGAGTTTACTCTTACTCGCCGAGTGGCAACATCTGGGGGCGGAACAAAGTTACCATCCATTCCACTCTACTCGTTGCGTGGCAACGCTCGGGGACGAAACTTCTATTTTACTCGCCATGTGGCAACGCAGCGGGTGCCAACCTTCTTTACTTTTAGTCTACTCGCCTCATGGCAGCGCCTGTGGGCAGATGAAATACACGATTCCACTAGATCCAGCTGCCTGCGGAAAGCCCCGCCACCGTGCCTGTGCAGCAGCGCAGTAGGAAGGAAGCTGAGTGTAGGAACAGCGCAAGTCCGATGAGTAGTCTGCAGTGGGGAAGGCTGTGATCACGACCTCGTCTTTGTCCGCGCGGTAGGGAGGAGGAGGAGGAGGAGGAGGAGGAGGAGGAGGAGGAGGAGGAGGAGGAGGAGGAGGAGGAGGAGGAAGGCGAGGAGGCGGGGGGGGCGTTCTACCCGTCGCGTTGCAAGGCATGAGGGGGCGACAGCGGCCTGCGATCGGTGGCCCGAGGCCGGCGGCCGACGCCCGGGGCCTCGAGCTGGTTTTAATTGGAGCATGCCCCTCTACAGGAGCATTGTGACGGTTTTTTGTTGTTGCTGTTGCTGTTGATGTTGTTGTTTGTTGTTGTTGCTGCTGTTGTTGCTGCTGTTGCTGTGCTTGTTGTTGATGTTGCTGTTGTGGTTGGTCTTGTTGTTGCTGTTGTTGTTAGTGTTGCTGTTGCTGTTGCTGTTGTTGCTGTGTTTGTTGTTGTTGATGTTGATGTTGTTGTTGGTCTTGTTGTTGTTGCTGTTGTTTTGTTGCTTTTGCTGTTGCGGTTGTTGTTGCTGCTGCCGTTGCTGCTGCTGTTGTTGATATTGTTGTTGTTGCTGTTGTTGTTGTTGTTGCTGTTGCTGCTGTTGTTGTTGTCGTCGCTGCTGTTGTTGATATTTGTTGTTGTTGTTGTTGTTGTTGTTGTTGTTGTTGTTGTTGTTGTTGTTATTGTTGTTGTTGTTGCTGTTGCTGTTGTTGTTGTTGTGTTGTTGTTGTTGAACATTATTTATTCTAAAGAATAATTATTGTTGGGCCCCCTGGTGCGCGCCCCCCCTGCGCCGCCTAGGCCGCAGCTACATTTTCATCATTTTCGTGAGGAAGCCTCAGAAAAGAGGGTGTGTACAGGATCCGGTTGTTTTGTTGTAATCCGCTTTCCCTTGCAAAAAACAATAGAAAATGACATTTCTTGTTCTAATATAATCAAATTTCAAGAATCCCTTGCAAAAAATAAGGTAAAGTGGACATTCGCGCGCGCAAGACGAAATCCTTCCAAAACCTTAGTGTTCGCAACGATTTTAACATAAAAACATCAAAAAACCAATGGTTTTTCAACAAAAATTGTCAAAATCTCATCCCGCGCGCTCTTGCGGATTCGTAGGAAACCCAACACTTTTTAAACATTTCTGTCAAACGGGCTTTTGCGAGCAACTTTTTCGAACTTCTGCGACAACGGTTGCGCACCTGCCAGGGCCATCATCCCTGTCAAATAATACCATGCGGGACACATTCGTTTTTTCTTCGCGCGCGCACGCCGTCGTCGTCGGCCGCGGGGCCCTGAATAGTAGCCACGGTCGTCCGCATGCCACGAAGTGAAGTGTCCGAACGTCATAGGGCGGGAAGCTGGGTGTGGGTGGTGGCGAAGAGTCGTTTGGAAATTTGGTAGAGCTTGAACCGGCCCCCCCACAAAGTGGGGGTATTGCCCGCCTCCTATGAAAACCCTGGCACTGGTGAGAACGGAGTGTCCCCAGTCTTAAATGATTGTTGAACATTATTATTCTAAAGAATAATTATTGTTGGGCCCCCTGGTGCGCGCCCCCCCTGCGCCGCCTAGGCCGCAGCTACATTTTCATCATTTTCGTGAGGAAGCCTCAGGTAAAACGATGTGATCCAGATCCGGTTGTTTTGTTGTAATCCGTTTTCCCTTGCAAAAAACACTATAAAATGACATTTCTTGTTCTAATATAATCAAATTTCAAGAATCCCTTGCAAAAAATAAGGTAAAGTGGACATTCGCGCGCGCAAGACGAAATCCTTCCAAAAGCTTAGTGTTCGGAGCGATTTTAACATAAAAACATCAAAAAACCAATGGTTTTTCAACAAAAAAATGTCAAAATCTCATCCCGCGCGCTCTTGCGGATTCGTAGGAAACCCAACACTTTTTAAACATTTCTGTCAAACGGGCTTTTGCGAGCAACTTTTTCGAACTTCTGCGACAACGGTTGCGCACCTGCCAGGGCCATCATCCCTGTCAAATAATACCATGCGGGACACATTCGTTTTTTCTTCGCGCGCGCACGCCGTCGTCGTCGGCCGCGGGGCCCTGAATAGTAGCCACGGTCGTCCGCATGCCACGAAGTGAAGTGTCCGAACGTCATAGGGCGGGAAGCTGGGTGTGGGTGGTGGCGAAGAGTCGTTTGGAAATTTGGTAGAGCTTGAACCGGCCCCCCCACAAAGTGGGGGTATTGCCCGCCTCCTATGAAAACCCTGGCACTGGTGAGAACGGAGTGTCCCCAGTCTTAAATGATTGTTGAACATTATTTTCTTAAGAATAATTATTGTTGGGCCCCCTGGTGCGCGCCCCCCCGCCGCGCCTAGGCCGCAGCCGCGTTTTCATCATTTTCGTGAGGAAGTCTCAGGTAAAACGATGTCATCCAGATCCGGTTGTTTTGTTGTCCGCTTTCCCTTGCAAAAAATAAGCTAAAGTGACATTTCTTGTTCTAACATAACCAAACTTCAAGAATCCCTTGCAAAAAATAAGGTAAAGTGGACATTCGCGCGCGCAAGACGAAATCCTTCCAAAACCTTAGTTTCGTAGCGATTTTAACATAAAAACATCAAAAAACCAATGGTTTTTCAACAAAAAAATGTCAAAATCTCATCCCGCGCGCTCTTGCGGATTCGTAGGAAACCCAACACTTTTTAAACATTTCTGTCAAACGGGCTTTTGCGAGCAACTTTTTCGAACTTCTGCAACAACGGTTGCGCACCTGCCAGGGCCATCATCCCTGTCAAATAATACCATGCGGGACACATTCGTTTTTTCTTCGCGCGCGCACGCCGTCGTCGTCGGCCGCGGGGCCCTGAATAGTAGCCACGGTCGTCCGCATGCCACGAAGTGAAGTGTCCGAACGTCATAGGGCGGGAAGCTGGGTGTGGGTGGTGGCGAAGAGTCGTTTGGAAATTTGGTAGAGCTTGAACCGGCCCCCCCACAAAGTGGGGGTATTGCCCGCCTCCTATGAAAACCCTGGCACTGGTGAGAACGGAGTGTCCCCACGTGCTAGTAATTGTTGTTGTTGTTGTTGTTGTCGTTGTGGTTTAGTTTGAGCTTTTGATTACTTCGGAATTCTCTTCCCAGATCCGCCTGTAGGAGGACATGCCCGACCTAAAGCTTGGCACACCCCTCAGACAGATCGCGCCTCGTGGGCTGACAACATTCAGGAGGGGAAAAGCACAGTCACAATTAATCTCCGATCTCAGGAAAATATGGAAAATACTGGAAGTGGGGGGGAAACGAAAACCAAGAAAATTTGAGAAAATATGGGGATCCTCGGATTTGTGTGTATTTGTTCGTGCCCCTGAGCCTCTTTACACACTTGCTTGAGCCCTCGTCCGCCGGCGGACGCCCGGGCCTCGAGCCTGCGTCCACGGGACCCAGTTTTTCGCACTCCTCCGACTCGGATCGCGCAGTTTATTGAACCTTCCGATGTTTTGTTGTATCGAGCCCCCATCCCCCAGGATGGTCCCCAGAACGAGCGTCTGACTTGATCGTTATTATAGAGGCCTATCAGAAGTTTTCTTTCTAACTTTATGGGTTAATCCCAGGCTACATTTGTGTTGATCTGGCTTTTGGCCTCGTAATCACAATCAACAGCCTTTGATCGTTTTTCTTGGCCCTGGACGCGTCCCGCCCACACGTACGGCGTGTTGCCTGGAACCGGGGGCTCTGCGCGACGATGTCGACGTCAAGTGCAAAGGCCCCAGGACTCGTTTCGATTCCTCCGATTCGATTTGATTCGACTTCGATGGCTTCCGATTCCGATTCGATTCGACTTCGGACTCCGATTTGGACTCTGGTTCTTTACTGGAGGCATACTAGCCTGCCGATTTCCGCCGATTCGATTTCTCCCAACTCGGCTGCCGATTTCGGCCGATCCGATTCATCTCGATCGCAGATCCGACTTGTCGATTCGATTCTGGGCTCTCCTGTCTCCCTGGGCCATCCTTGACGGGCTTGTCCGGGCTCGAGAAGTATTCGTACACGGCGCACAGGCCGCAAGTCTTCTCAGGATTATTTTGTTGCAGGATCGGCGTTCCAGGCGTCGAGTAGCCTCCAGTAGTTGGGGACGCTGCAGCGACCTCCTTTTGCGTCGTCCTGAACGAGAAACAGGCGTCCAATGCACTGGAAGCAGGTTTCCTCATACCCCCGTTTCGTAGCCTGGGCGTTTCTTTAGGTCTCCCAGGGCTTCGTGATGGAGGAGTGGGGTGAACGCGCATGTGGGGAGAAAACGGCAAACGGCGGGCAAGACAGGAAGTTCTATGCTGTTGCTTGACGCCGAGCACCTCTCTCCTCTGCCGTTGCCTACGCATCTCCTGCATATGCTTCCACCAGGGCTTCCGGGGGAGTCGCACCATGCCTTCGGGGATCAGCGCTTCTGGAGCAATGCGAGCAATGCACCCGTTTGGGTGCGGAGCAGCGGAGGCGAGAGGAGACGAACAGGCGAGAGTACACAGGTTGCAGGCAGCAGCGACTGAAGGGGTGAAGAGCGGCCCGGCGGCGAGGCATGTGCACACAGTGGAGGAGAAGGAGGAGGAGGAGGAGGAGGAGGAGGAGGAGGAGGAGGAGCAGGAGGAGGAGGAGGAGGAGGCGGAGATTGACCCACTCGGCCTACGCTATCTCTGCCAGCAGTACCACCCCGCAGGAGCACTCGCAGGTCCTCAGGATCCTCAACGTGTCGGCTTCCTCCACGAACATGAAGATCATCGGCCCGGCCACGCAGGCCCCGCCCGCTCGTCCCTGCCCGGCGGCAGCTCCGCCTGCTGCCTCTGCAGAGCCTTCTGGGACCTCCCAGTCTCAGGAGGGAAACACACACAGACACAGTTCCTCGTCGATTCCCTAGAAAATATGGGAAACTGTTGGAAGTGGGAGGAAGACGAACATCCAAACAATATGGGAAAAGACGGTCAATTCTGGGATTTGTGTGTATTTATTTGTGTCTCCCTGGGCCCCTTCATAGTTGCGGTCGGACCACCCAAGTTTCCATCTTGCCGCCAGCAATGGATCGGTCCAGTCAGTTTCCGATTGGCGTCCTGGTCTGTCCCCATGCAGCGCAGGGGTACGTGGTCACCACGGAGCGAGACCTTCTGGAGTCCTCTTGCGGTCTGTTGGGAAGCTCTTGTGGGTCTCTCGGAGGCCTCTTGGAAGCCACTTAGGGGCCTCTTGAGGCCTTTTGGAGGTCTCTCGGGGGTCCTTTGGGGGTTGTCAGGGGTCTCCTGGGGTCTTGGGACAATCTTGGAGAGGAGGCTTCAAGGTCTATGGCGGTTGGGCTGGCACTGGTCCTCTTGGGCCCCCAGGAAGCCTCGGGTTCGTCTTGGGGCGAACTTGGTGGCGCCTCAGGCCGGAACGGCGAGAATGTTCATCAGAGGCGTTTTTTTGTTCTCACTACTTCAAACGGGTTGTGAGCACAAACGCAATCATGATGTCTGCCTGGGCCCCCGTCGGACGAGCGGAGATGCGAGCGCAGTGGCGCGCGCGGTCGCGCGCGACCCGCCGCTGGTAATAACGTTTTTTTTTTTTTTTGTGTGTTAATATGTTTTTTTTGTTTGTTTTTGTATGTATAAATGTCTCGTCTTTTTAACACTTTTTTTAAACCTCAACTTGCGCACAAGGGCGTGACGTGTTTCCGGCTTCTGGGGCCTCGGGGAAGAGCACGAGAAGCGGAGTGGTACAACATTCACTAATGTCAACTCGGGCCTGTCCCTGTACAGGGGGAATATTTTAAAATAGGCGACACAATAGTATGGGGACGTTTTTTTTTTTTTTTTTTTTTTTGTGTGTGTGTGTGTGTGTGTGTGTGTGTGTGGGGGTATTTTCCATTTTTCGTACCGAATCCGCCTGTAAGGGGAAATGCCCGACCTAATACTACTGACGACCTAGTGATGATTGGAAGGTCTTCCACTATGTGCCTGCAGCACGGCGGCGGATATGCTGGAGGAGCTGGGGATGATGAGGATGGAGGCGGAGGAGCTTGGGGGGGAGGAGGATGAAGATGAGGATGCGGACCCGCGCAGACGGAAGACGCATTGGCGATGTTGCCGTACATCCTCCCTCCGAGGTCCCTTTTCAAAAGTCCCTACAATAACTGACGTATTTTCACTGCGGGAAGTGACCCATTGGAAGACAGCCGTGTGGGAATGCCCAATCGTGCCAAAACGCAATTGTTGGGACTTCCACGCCGCGAGTCAACGTGACTGTTGCGTCCTGACGATCCTGAATCGTGCCAGAACACCATACCTGGGACCTGAACGCTGGGAACCAATATGACTGATGCGCTCTGGGACGTCAAGTATAAGACTCCTTGCTATGGCTCTCGACTTTTAAAACGAATGTGCCCGGCGCTAGGGCGAGAGCCACTTTTTTGAAAAGGTTCCGCCCTCCATCCGTGAAGCTCTCGCGAACTTTGAAATGAACGTGCGCGGCGCTGAGTCGAGAGTACCATTTTGAAAAGGAGCCGCCCTTCACCCGTGAAGCTCTTGCAAACTTGAAAAGCGAATGTGCGCGGCGCTGATGCGAGAGAGACAAGTTGAAAACCAACCGCCCTCCATCCGTGAATCTCGTGCCAATCCTAGACGCTTCCGCCAGCTCATCCAGAAACGATGCCCAGTCGAATTGCCCTGATCAGGGATGTGGAGGAGCATGCAGTGGAATAAACGGCTGGGTAAGACGCCAATTCTTCACTCTTCGCGTATCCCCACCAGCCGTGTTCGCAATTCGCACCTCCGCCGCCCCGGACGTCGCTCCCGCTCCCTGGCGGTCGCCTGGGAGCTGCTTACCAAGAACAGTATCCCCACCAGCAGTTCGCTGCTGGCGCGCTCGCCTGCGGCCGCGACAAAAAGTATCCCCACCAGTAGCTACCCCCGCCTGTCATCCTCATGGGAGCTAAAAAGGGGTCTTCCGCCCCGACGGCCGCGCCCCCGCGTGGACGCAATCCCGTGGCGACACCCCGGAGGAGGTCTTCTTCCTGCGGCGAGAAGGCCTGAGTCATTGATGTTACGAAAAAAGTTTGGGCCCAGTTGGACGACTTTGATGGCCCCAGGGGAGGGGGGGGCAAATGAAAGACCCCACCTTTGGATCGATGGCCTCCGAGGTGGCCCCAAGAGGCCCGCCAAGGCTCCCCAGGGACCCCCAGGAGGACCCCAATGTGAGGGCCCCAAGAGGGCCCCAAGCCTCTCCAACAAAAGCTTTGCGAGGACCCCAAGATCGCACAAAACACCCAAAGATGGCTCCAAAACGGCTCCAAAAAGGTGTTTTTTTTTTTTTTTTTTTTTTTTTTTTTTTTTTTTTTTTTTTTTTTTTTTTTTTTTTTTTTTTTTTTTTTTTTTTTTTTTTTTTTTTTTTTTTTTTTTTTTTTTTATATTATTATTATTGAAAAAAATAGCCGACGATAGTTCATAATTGCTTCTGGCACACCTCCAAGAGGCCCGACGAGGGCCAGAAGGTTTCGAGTGCTCTCGGAGCCCCCTCAGGACCCCCCGAGAAGCCAACATCATTCAAACTCCGAAGAAGTCAATGATGTTTGGCTTCTCGCCTTTTCGCTCCCAATGCGCTCTTGAGTCGCCGAGGCCATCTCTGACCATCTTGGGCGCCCCGACACTCCTCGGCTCCCCATCAACACCACCATTTTTTTTTTTTTTTTGGGGGGGGGGGGGGGGTTTTAAACTATGTGTTTGATTCATACATTGATTTCTTTTAATTAAGTATTCGTTTAATAGTTTTATATATCCATTATAGAAGAATGTGTTCATACATAGTCAATAAGGGGATACATGTTATCGTGAGACCACCTTAGCCAAGAGGTCTGGTGGGAATCTGTCAGGGAGAGTGACATAAAACATACCAACTCGGACCTCCCAGTTTGTATGTTTATGCCATTGTTTGTTTCCCGTTCTGTCCTCGCCAATTTCCCAGCCGCCGCAGTGGTTCAAGATCACGTACGAGAAGAAGGGCTTGCTGGCCCCAGGCATGAGCGAGGATTGCGTGTGCTTTTCCCGCCCAGTCTCCTGCTCCGCCTGCCGTGCCGTGTGCCTCTCCTTTCACCGCCGCCTCTGCCGCCATCGCAGGGCAGGGCAGTGCTGGTCACTCGTTCGCCCGCTGGTCGTTCGTTCGCTCGTTCGCTCGTTTTCCACTCCAGCTCCCTGACTCTGTCTGGAAGAAGTCCAGCCCTCTCCGTGTACTTTTAACGTCGGATTCCAAGCAGTAATACTATAGTTTGCAATCCTATTTTTCTGGTGCTTCAAAATTGTGCTCCCGCTGCAGTGTGGGCCTCATTTTCGGATCGCTGCTTTTCTCCCGTCGTTTTAGACTGGCGCTCTCGCCCAAGCGCGGGCCATTTTTCTGGATACGAGTCCTTCCTGATAGTTGTCACCCCCCCCATTTCCTTGCCGACTTCCCTGGTCATCCTGCTCCTCCCGCTCCTTCCTCTCCAGTTCCTGCTGCTGCTGTTCGTCATCGTCCTCCTCCTTCCTCCTCCTCTTCCTCCTTTTCCTCCTGCTCACCTGTCGCCTCCTCACCCTTCTATGTGCGCAGCCCCCCTCTTCCAATTGTGCATAACACGATGTGATCTTCTTGAAATTCTAGGTTGGCTATGACACGCGACCGCGGATAGAGAACAAATCAGCGCACTGGGAAGGGACGGAAGACAGGGGTAGGATGTCCGATGTGGCGCGACCGCACCTAGCTTGCCTCTCTCCCCTCTCTTCTCAGCTTCTCCCTCTTGCCCTCGCCTCCCATTCCTTATCGGGCCCTGGAAACGACAGGGCCGTTCTTTTACCTGTTCCGTTTTGCCGTTTTTTGCCGGTTCCGTCTCCGTTTTGTTGCCGCTTCCGTCGCAGTTTTTGTTGTTGTGACTGTTTTGTTGTGTTTCCGGTTCCGGCTCCGGTCCAAACTCCAGAGCCGTTTTTTTTTTCCCGTTTCTGGTCGCCGCTCTTTTACCTCTTCCATGTTCGAGATAGTTGTTTCGGGAGCGGTGAGAAACGGCCCTGCCGTTTCGAGGGCCCGAGAAGTCCCTGCGCCCTCCTCTCCCGCCCCCTTCGCTCCCTCTCCTCCCGCTGTCTGCCCCTCGGAGCGTCTTCGCCTGCACCTCGCGCACCTCCGTCTGGGACGTCCGGCCGCCCGCCCGGCCGTCCCTTCCGCCAGTCCTCAGGAGGAAAAAAAACACACAGACACAATTAATCGTCGATTCCCAGAAAATATGGGAAAATATGGGAAGTGGTGGGGAAGACAAAAACCCAGAAAATATACGAAAATATGGGGGATATTTTTATTTGTGTGTATTTATTTGTGTGTCCCAGGGCCCCTTCATGTCTGCTGGTCCGCCCGTCCCTCTTCCCGCCTTCCGCTGCGGGCCCGCCTGTCCCCTCTTCCCGCCTGCCCCGACCCGCCGCCCCCGTCCTCGACCCTTGGCCCCGCGCTCCTCCTGGAGGAGGGGGGGGTCCTCCTCCTCCTCCTCCTGCTCCTCCTCCTTCTCCTCCTTTCCCCTCCTCCTCCTCCTCCTGCTCCTCCTCCACGCTCCTCCTCTCCTTCTTTTCCCTCCTCCTCCTCCACGCTCCTCCTCCTCCTCCTCCTCTGCCCCGCCCGCCCGTCGGTCTGTCCCTCCGTCGGCCTTGTCCGCCCGCGTCGTCGTCGTCGTCGTCGTCGTCGTCGTCGTCGTCGTCGTCGTCGTCGTCCGTTCGTCGTCGTCGTCCGTCCGACGTCGTCGTCGTCGTCGTCGTTGTCGTCGTTGTCGTCGCCCGTTCGTCGTCGTCGTCGTCGTCGTCGTCGTCGTCGCTTTGTCGTCGGTCGTATACACTTCTCGATTTGTTCAGGGCGGGGACGGGGACGCCAGACGTGGGGGATGCTCAGGCAGCCTCTCTGTGGCGAAGCGCCCGTTTGGCCTGCCTCGAGGCCGACCCTGATTTCCCTGCTCCCCCTCCTCCGCAGCCGTCACGGTGGCCCGCCGTCCGTGGTTTTGCCGCCGTTGCGCGGCGAGGACGTGACCGTGACGTTCACGCCGCACGAGTGGCGGTACTACTACGACACCGTGAAGATCTTCTGTGGCGACCAGGACCACCGGCTCCTTCCCCTGGTCGCAAATCATGGGAGCCTTGCGTGCCCTTGTAATTTCTATCTCCAGCGTCGACTCGCGTCGATCAGCGTCCAGGAGTCGATGAGACAGCGCCGATTTCTCGTCGAGGTAGCGTCGATTGTCGTCGATTTAGCGTCGATTAGCGTCGATTCAGCGTCGACCAGCGTCGAATCGCAAGAGCGGACAAGATGGTATGGGAGGCTCCCATGAGTTGCCACCGAACCTTCCTTGACGAGCGAAAAACACACCCATACCCAGAGGGGGGTCGGAGGGAGGAGGACTGGCTATGGATATGGGTGCGGGCTTGTCGGAGCCCGGGGGAGGCCCTCGTTCGAGCGGGGGCCCCCGTCCGACAATACGCACCCATAGCCCCCTTCTTCCTCCCAGGGGGTAGGGGTCATCCCCGGAGCGAGTGACGAAAAAGAAACATGTGCACACGCATGACTCTTCGGAGTTCCGTGCGGGTCTCTTGGATTGGTGTTGGGCTTTCTGGTGTGCCTCCGGCGCCGCCCCTGGTGCGCTCCGCGCGCCAGGGAGGGGGTCCAGCGCCGACGCAGGGAGGCGTCATGCGATGAGTATGATGACGGCACAGACGCGGTAGTGCACGTGGCGACGGGGCGTGGAATCCCCCGTTCTCTGCGCGGCCGCCCTAGTCCTTTTCCCTCTCTTGCAGGCCGGCTGACTAGCCATGCCGCCAACGTCGCAGAGCGGATTTCGCTCGGACAGCGATAGGATGGGCCCGGAGTGTCCTGGAGATTTTCGTTCCCGATTTCGAGGTGAATTTCGTGCGGATTTTCTTGGCCAGGAGTGAAGACCAGGAAGAATCCACGCGAAATTTGCTTTGTTTTTCGCTCGCCGCTTCGGGCAAAAATCCATGCAGAAATCTGCCCAGAAATCCGCTGCGGCACGTCTGCAAGGCCGGTGCAATGAAACTAGCCATTCGGCTGCCCCGCATTGCTACACGCTGGAGCGGACCGCCTCTGCCTCGCCGCCGACGAAAAACAGGGGCGTGGAATTGAACGGGTGCTGGGTAGGCTGGTGGCTCTGGGGCCGAGGCGCGACCAGGAGCGAGTGGAGACGTACTTGCTCTGGCCCCCACAGGCAGGGAAGAGCGTAGGCACCCAACGGCGCTCTCGGTCGGGGATGACCCTTCAGCGAGGCATTCGAATATAACTCGGCGAGGTGGGTCGCTGGACGAGGTGACGCATGCCCAGACATGCTCGCGTCGTGAAAAGACCACGACGGCAGGATTTTGTCGGCGGCGAGCGAGGGGGGGAAGTGAGAAGGAGAAGGCCTTCTCAGAAGGCTCGGAAGTCCCCAGGGGCCTCCTGAGAATTTTTCTAAGCCTTCCCTGGATACCGAGAAACTTCCCAGAAGGCGCGAGGGCTTTTGAGAAGTCCCGCCGCCTTCTGAGAGTCGGGAGGGGAAAAACAGTTTTTGGTCGGCGTGGCGAGAGCGAACCTCTTCCGCTAAAAGCTAGGCGGGCTACGCACAGCTTTAATTAGGGAGACAGGGCACAGGCGGGCGGGGCCTCAGGCGGCCAGAGTGGGCTGGGCCTGGGGTGCAGGCGGTACCGACGAGCTTGCACAGGAATAGGTATGCCGCGGACAGGGGCCGGAGGCGAAGACCAGGAGGGTGAGCGGTGTTGCCGTCAACGGCACGTCGTGAACACCAGCCTCAAGCACTGCAGAGGAGGACGTGCCAGTTGACCAGGTCGACGTCCAGGAGGGAGATGACCACCATGAAGGCGATGAGCAACGTTGTGCCACCGGATGGTGCGGAGGAGGCCCAAGAGGAAGAAAAGCACCACGAAGGCGATGTGCAACGTTGTGCCGCCGGGTGATGCGGAAGCGGCCTGGGGTGGTAGTCCAATCCACGACCACGAAGCAGCCAGCTACAGCTGCGGCCAGAGACGAGGGCCATCACTGTCCGACAGGATGTCGGTGGAGTGCAGGGAGGAGATCTGTCCTGCACAGCCAGCGCGTGGAGACGGGCAGCAGCCACACACGATGCGCTGACGTCCGCATGGCCGAGGGCCGGGCCTGAACCGCGCAGCGCCATGGCGAGCGGGGCCGCCGAGGCGGCAACGTGCAGCGCCCGGCACCGGGCCGAAGCCGCGCAGTGCCGGGCGCTGCCGCCATGGGAGGGGGGGGGAAAGCGAGCGGGGGGGGAAGAAGCGAACAGGGAGGAGAGAGGCCGGCGTCCCTTCGCCAGCCGTAGTCGCGTCAGCCCGCACCATGGGTGCTCACGCGGGGGAATGGGCCGCGATGGGTACAGGTAGGACACGGCCCCAGAACATGTAGAAGACAGGGCGCGCAGGGAGGGGAAAAACTGACAGACATCATTCATCACCGATTCCCCGGAAAATGGCAAAAATATGGGAAGTGGGGGGGGAAGACGAAAACACAGAAACTATGGGAGACTATGGGGAACCCTGGGATTTGCGCGCGCGCCAGGGAGGGGGACCCAACGCCGACACGGAGGCGTCATGCGACGTCTTCCTGTGTCTGGCATGTTTATGCCGCTTGTTTTTCTCCACCGCACCAAATGCGCGTCGCAGCGTCCCATTTTTTGCACCCCCGATTCAAACTCCCTGCCAGTTCTTGATGATCTGTCGGGCACTTGTTGATGCTTCGCGAATCCCCACCAGCCTATCCAGAGACAGTCCTCAGGCGAGTTGCTTTGATCAGAGAAGTGTAGGAGCTTACAACTGGACGCAGAGGGGGGAGTCCAGCAAACCAAAGCTTGGGATCAGCGTGAGCAAACCTAAGAGTCTACCATAAGGGCCTCTGCAGAGTTTTCGATTTAAGATTTTCTTGGAGCCTTGTTGGGGCTATCTTGGGGCTTGTTGGGGCCGTTTTTAGCTCCCCTGTCTTCTGGATGGGTTTTCTTTGGGTCATCTTGGAAGACATCGATCAAACAGAGGGCCTCAACGAGCGTACCCCGGACGGAGCTGGACAAATTGTCTCAAGGGGCCTTCTAAGGACGCTTTTGCGGCGCTTTTAGGTGCCTTGGAGCCGTCTTGGAGCCTTTCTGAGCCCCTCTTGGGCTCTCTTGTGCGACAAGGCCAGAAGAGTTTTTAGCTTCACTGGGGCATCCTTGAGAGGTTCTGTGGCCACTTGTGGCTGTTTTGAGCAATCTTGACGAGGAGAATCTT